GCTGTTCCTGCTGCAGTTGCTGCTGCTGCTGCTGTTGCTGCTGCTGCTGCTCATGCGGCTGCTGCTGCTTACTGCTTCCTTTTGCTGCTGTCTGTTATGCCTTACCTGCTTCCTGCTGCTGCTGCTCTTGCCGTTGCCTCTTGCTGCTGCTCTTGCTGCTGCTGTTGGTGCCTGTGTTGCTGCTGCTGCTGCTGCTGCTGCTGCTGCTGCTTCTGGTTGCTTTCTTTTGTGTCATCCCCTCATTTCTTTTGCTGCTGCTTCTTTTGCTGCTGCTGCTGCTGCTGCAGGGGGGCGATGCTGCTGCCGAATTACAACGGCAAGAATGCGTTGCAGCAATCTGCTGCTGCTGCTGCTGCTGCTGCTGCTGCTGCTGCTCCAGTTGATGTCTGCAGCAGCAAGCCCGCTCCCCCGGGGCCCCTTCGTGGGCTTTCAGATTCTACTATGACGCCAGCAGCAGCAGCAGCTGCTGCTGCAGCAGCAGCAGCAGCAAACAACACCGTTCCTGCTGCTGTCGGGATGCCAGCAGCAGCAGCAGCAGCAGCAGCAGGCAGCGGCGCGCAGCACTTCTGTCTCCCCTGGGGTTATACAAAGCCTGTGCTCCCGCCGTGCAGCAGCAGCAGCAGCAGCAGCAACAGCAGCAACAGCAGCAGCAACAACACAACAGCAGCAGCAGCAGCTGCTGCTGCTGCTGCTGCACTGCGAGCCACAAGACCCCCAGCAGCAGAAGCAGCAGCAGCAGCAGCAGCACTGGGTAGGGGCCTGAGTTTCGGGGGTGTAAAGACAGCTCCTCCTCCCCCTTCTTCTTCATCAGCAGCAGCAGCAGCAGCAGCAGCAGCAGCAGCAGCAATGGGTTTTCGTATAGATGGATGCAGCATGGGGGCCCCCCAGGGGCCCCTAAAGGACCTTCGGGGTGTACAGACAGCTGAGGGCCTCGCAAACAAATATAGGGCCCCCTTTGTGTGTGTGTATATTCCCTTTGCTGGTTATATAATACATTTTCCAGCAACGAGAGAGCCAGCAGCAGCACACAGACGCAGCAAACCACGATGCATGCGAAGCCAAAGAAAAGCAGCAGCGAGTTCTGCTCCAGTATACGCATGCATGATGCAGCAGCAGCAGCAGCAGCAGCAGAAGCAGCAGCAGCAGCAGCAGCAGCAACTATCCCTCCTTACTGTTGCAACACAGAATATGATAAGCAGCAGCAGCAGCAACTGCAGCTGCAGCAGCAACAGCAGCAGCAACCACAGTACCAGCAGCAAAGACACTGCTTACCTAGGGGACCTGCAGCAGCAGCAAACCCCTGTGCCTCTCATCAGCAGCAGCAGCAGCAGCAGCAGCAACAGCAACAGCAGCAGCAGCAGCAGCAGCATTTCACGGGGCAGCGGAGGAACTCAGACTTCCCGCAGCAGCAGCAGCAACAGCAGCAGCTGCTCCTTTCGCAGCAGCAGCAGCAGCACTTGCCGCCGCCACCGCCGCCACCGCCCCCACCCCCGCAGCAGCAGCAGCATCACCAGCAGCAGCAGCAGCAGCAACAGCAGCAGCTGCCGCTGCTGCAGGAGCAGCTGCAGGGGCTTTGCATACCAGCAGCAAAGGGGGGGTACTCCGTTTCTTCTTTTTTCAGCAGCATCAGCAGCAACGAGCAGCAGCAGCAGCAACAGCAGCAGCAGCTGCAGCAGCAGCAGCAGCAGCTGCTGCTGCTGGGGGAACCAACAACAGCAGCAACAGAAGGAGATGAAGAGACAGGGGCTTCACAGTTGACCCCTGACAGCAGCACGAGCAGCAACAGCAACGACAACAAGAGCAGCAGCAGCAGCAGCAGCAGCAGCAGCGGATCTACCGCAGCAGCAGCAGCTGTTGCTGCTGCTGCAGCTGCCGCTGCAGCTGCAAGGAAAAGCGAGCAGCAGCAGCAACAGCAGCAGCAGCAGCAGCAGCAGCAGCATAAAGGTTTATGGTGCGGCTCTGTAATGGGGCTGCATGCAGCAGCAGCAGCAGCAGCACCGCAGCACCGAAGTTGTTGGGCGCAGGCAGCCCACGACCTGCAGCAGCAGCAGCAGCAGCAGCAGCAGCAGCAGCAGCAGCAGCAGCAGCAGCCGTTTTGGCTGCCTTCATTAGATTCTCTAGATGGGGATACAGCATGGCAGGGAGGAGACAGCAGCGGAGACCTTCCTGCTGCTGTTGCTGCTGCTGTAGCTGAAGCAGCGAGTGTTGCTGCAGCAAACAGCAGCAGCAGCAGCAGCAGCAGCAGCACAAGTACCAGTAGCAGCAGCAGCAGCAGCAGCGTTCCCTCTAATGATAGAAGACGGGGGAAGCAGAATCTATTTGCTGCATTTCAGAGTGAAAGAAACGCAGCAGCAGCAGCAGCAGCAGCAGCAGCAGCAGCAGCAGCAACACCACGAGATATGGGGGAGCTCGCGCAGCTGTCTCCTACTGCAGCACTAATTGCTGCTATTTGGGGGGCAGAAGAACCCTCCTCTCGTCCTGTTGCTGTCTCTAAGTAGCA